CAGCCTGTCTTTCGCCATTTTAAAGCCTGGTGCTCTCTTCTGCTCCCTGGAGATGAACGTGCGACTTGGCATCCGCTTCCAGAAGAGTCCGGTCTCATCCACATTGAAGACAACTTCTGGTGGATATCTCCCTCTATCCACCACGTCCTTTAAAGAGGCTGGAAAGGCTGCAGCAGCTCCAGTATCTGCACTAGCCACTCCCCCAGTGATCTTAAGGTTGTAGAGGTTGTACCTTTTCTTAAAGCGATCAAACCAACCTCTACTTGCTGCAAAACTCTCCATCACATCTGGATCTTGACTCTGTATGTGAGCGTAAATGCTCTTCGCCTTCTCCATCAAGATGGCCTGGCTGAGAGGCATGTTACACTCCAGCTCATCATCTATCCATCATCTATCTAGCCTCTTCTCCATCTCCTCAAGAGTGTAGGACCTGGAGCGGGTGATCTTCTTGGCTGAAGAAACAGTGCTGGTCGTCGCTGAAGTGCGGATATTATCCTTGTTTTTAAGGATAGTGCGGATAATGGAGGTAGGCAAATGGAGATCTGCCCCGATATCCCCCCGAGATCTGCCCCGATATCCATCTGGCGCTCTCCTTGTATCTTGACATCCAGAGGAATACTCTGGCGCTTGCCCTTAGCCTGCTCCTCTTTGCGCTCAGACATCTGTAAAACAGTATAAAAATACAATGAATGTAGATTTTCATTATGCAACACAACACAATGGAACAATGACAATGCAGTATTCTGTACTGTACCTTGCCACCGGATGTTCTCTGCAGGATTTGGAGGTCCCTGATAACAATCACTAGATGTGACTCTATCTGCATTAACCCCCCCCCCAAAAAAAAAAAAAAATTGTATAATTAATAATCACATTATTAAATACAAGGGAACAAAGACAGTTACAGGAAACAAAGGGAACAAAGAAACAAGGGTGGGAAATTGTATTAGACAGCTAATAATAATCAAATTATTAAAAACAAAGGAACAAAGAAAGTATTCTGTACCTTGCCAATGGATTTTCCAGGTTGGATTCTGCTGTCTCTATCTCTCTTTCTGGCTCTCACTAGTTCTTTCTCCCATGGTGCCCCTGTACACGCTGTAACGACGCAGTCAAGCTCTTTTAGCGTTAAGCGGGTCGCGCACGGAAAAAAACAGCGCTATAGCAGGGTTTAGCGCTCTGCGAGTACCAGTACGGTGACAGTACTATAGCGAATCAGTGCTATGCGGGGTAGCGCTAAACAGGGTATCCCTGTATACGTGTGTGTATATATATATATATATATGTGTATATATATATATATATGTGTATATATATGTATATATATTTTTACAATTATTGTTATTTATATATAGGAATACATATAGTGATATATACGTATATACTTATGTATATAGATATATATATATATTATTTTGTTCTACATGTATTTTGATATCAATATATATATATATATATATATATATATATATTCATTTTAAAATACAGTTAGAACGAAATTACACATGTGTGTGTATATATATATATATATATATTTTATTTATTTTTTATTATTTTTTAATTTTATTTTTTAACGTATTTACATATGTATTTAATTTTTATTATATATAAATATATATATAATGAAAATTATATACATATTTAATCAATATCATTGTACGTGTATTTTGATATTTATATATATATATATATATATATAATTAATTATGTATATATTAATATTAAAATACACTTAGACAGTGTATGTGTATGTGTGTGTATATATACTTAGATCATATATATATAATAAGTAAATATATGATCTAAGTATATATTATTTATTTTTACACTGTTTTAACTTATTTTATTTCATTTTCAGACAGCAGGGGGAGTACCTGTCATTACAGGCACTCCCCCTGCTGGCAATGCCTTTGACGGCTATGCCATCCATGTGATCGTGAGGTCCTCGCAAGGACCTCGCGATCACATGGCCCAGGGGGGCCAAAGAGGACGGAGGGAGACTCCCTGGGCTCCCAGGTGAGTCTCCATACCGCGATTGCCGGCGTGGGATCGCCGTGACCGGGTAAGTACATTAGATCACAGGGTGTTCTATGCCGCCCTGCGCCGTTTAGAGCTATCTAAATAAGGACAGCATAGAACGCCCTGCGGTCTTAAGGGGTTTACTAACACCCCCATCCCAGTTATCAATGTAACTACACTTTCATTTTTATTTTTTTTAATTAATGTATTTAATGTTTTGGGGTTGGTTTTGCTCTCTTTAGCTATCAGTTTATTATTTTCTAGTGTAGCCCCTCTAGTAACCATTTTTCCAGGCATTATTGGCTTGCTTATATCTTATATAGGATGTCCATGATTTGTGTGATTTAAATGCTTTAAATGTCTTTTCCTATTTTTTTTCTCTTGGATTACTTTCCCACTAACCTACATTGGTTTCTATTTGCTTATTTTATGTTTGTTACCTAATGGTACATACTGAGAAATTTACATTTCAACTATTTGTTGGAGATATTCCATTTATCCTCAGTGGGTTTTTTTTCTCAATAAAGAGTTTATGCCAATCAATATTTTGTTAAACTGCCCTTATCTTGTCAAAATTTACCTTTTATTTTTAGTATACCCCATATGCTTTTGCTTTTTTGAATTAATTTCAAAAGACACCATATTGTGATTAATATTTCCCAAGTGCTCCCCTATTTGAATGTCGGGCAACAGATCAGCATTGTTTGTTATAACCAGATACAGACAAGCATCCTTTCTAGTTGGTGCGTGGTACAGCTTTTCTTCCTCATCAATATAAACATTAGGTGGTTTAGAACGTATCCCAACCAATTACTGTTTCCCCTTCTTTGCCCCAAGCAGATATCTACCCAGAAAGTTTCTACATTTTCCTCATCACATTCCACTTGTTTAAGATTTGACTTAAAGTCACGGTTGACATACAAACATACTCCACCACCTTTCCTGTTTTTTCTATCCTTCCTAAATAATATGTAACCATTTAAGTTAGCTGTCCAGTCATGTGTCTTATCCTACCATGTTTATGTTATGCCCATTATGTCATATTGCTTAGTGCACTCTATTGCTTCTAGTTCCCTCATTGTGTTATTTATGCTCCTTGCATTAGTAAGCATACATTTAATATTACCATATGTCACTTGTACTTTATGTGAATTTGTATTACTATTACATACCTCCTCTGTTCCAAAACTCCTTTTCCTACCGTTCTTTAATTTCTTCTTGGGATTAGGATGCAACATTGATGATGGTGGGTTTATGTTTATTATTATTATTATTATAATTAGTTTTGGGTATGTGTTGTGTAGTAGAGTACAGCACGAACGGTAACCACCAGTCTCGCACTATGATAAATGAAGCAGGCTATATAAATCTCAAAGTTATGGGGAGTGCCGTTGTGGCAGTAGCTAAACAAGAGGAATTTTGTTTTTCATTTTTACTGAACAAGACTAGACAAAAAAGATTTTCATTAAACAAACACTTAAAAATCAGTCAAACTGTAAACTCCAGGTGGGTTTTTAGTAGCAGTGGCTAGTAGTAGGGCACTGCACAAACCCTATTCACCAGTGTAACACTTGGATGAATAAGCAGGCAATGAACAAGTCAAAGTATTTGTGAGTGCCACTGTGCTATCAGCTAAGTAAATTTAACTTTCTACAAACAGTTATCAAAAAAACAAAAACAGCCCACAAAAAAATTCCAAGTTTTCTCATAATGATGTCATTAAATGCTGGAGATGTGATAAATTTGAGGGAGATTATATACATATGTGGTGGAAATGTGAAGTTGCAGCTAATTTATGGAATATAGCTTTCAAAAAACTCCAGGCCTTGGGGAAATTCAAAATTGACAAAAGAATTGACATAGCAATTCTACATTTAAATTGGCTGGCTCTACACCCTCGAGAAGCCTTAATGACAACCCATTTTTTTGTGGCGACAAAACTACTTTTGGCCAGATATTGGAAATTAAAGGTATTTGTTAGTTGGCCAAATTTGAAAAATCTAATTATATTCCAGTGCAAAATGGAACAAGGCCTTAATTGGATCAGTAAAAAGGCTGATCAGAACAGTAGGTGGCTATCAGAATGGGTAGACAGACTGACTGATCTTGATTAAAATATGATATTTGGTTTAAAAATAAGTTATAGAAATTACATTTTTAATGTGGGGTATTTTATATTTCATATTCAAATCTTCTTCTGCCAAATAATGTATATGGTTACTAAACTCTTTACCTTCCTTCCTAATGTTAGACATAATTATTTTAATGGATAAATACTCTGGTGACTGGTACTTTGTCATGTAATGTGGTTTATGTTATTTGTCTTTCGGGACCTTTTTATGATTCCGATAGTATTTGATGGAAATAACTCTATTTGTGAGGTCTATAAATATTAAATGTTTATATGTATTTGTAAAACTATATGGAAATAAAAATTATTAAATTAAAAAAACAAAAAAACAAAACAAGAACATTTGAAAACTGTAAAATGGTAACCTTGTCTCACACTTGGATCAATGACACAATGGCAATCTCCTATCTCCCACTCAAGTTATTTCAAGTGTCCCTGACAGTAGCTAGATAGCTAGAAACCAAAGTGAGCTAAACCTAAAGGATTATTTACTAAAGTAAAAATTCTAAGTTAAAGGGACACCCCAGGCACCCAGACTACATCTGCCCATTGGAGTGCCAACTCCCACTACCCTTAACCCTGCAACTGTAATTATTGCAGTTTAAATAAACAGCAATAATTACATTGCAGGGTTAACTCCTCCTCTTGTGGCTGTCTACGAGACAGCCACTAGAGGGCACTTCCGGGATTCTAGCACAGGTTTTCTGTGCTAGAGTGTCGCTGGACGTCCTAATGCTATGTGAGGACCTCCAGGGTCGCTAAAATCCCCATAGGAAAGCATTGAAAAGCATTTTCAATGCTTTCCTATGGAGAGGTCTAATGCACGTAATTAGTCTCCCCCGCCAGCTGATAAAAATGATCTGCCTAATGTCTGCAAAACCTCAAATGTACACATGTACGCAGACGACACAGTAATCTATGCGAGCAAATCCGAGCTACCGCAGCTTGAGGCTGTGCTCCAAGGCCAGTTTACAGAGGTAGAAAAGTGGATCGCAAAAAACAAACGTCCTAAACACTGACAAAACTGTCACAATGATATTTGGAACAGTATCTAAATTACACAAATTACACAATTCCCACCTATCCATCAAAACTAATTCAAATAGCACACTGACCGCAGTCCACTCTTTTAAATACTTGGGTATGTTGTTAGACCCCAATCTATCTTTTGGCCTCCACATAGAAAATTTTGCATCTAAACTTTATCCAAAACTAGGTGCCCTGTACAGAAACAAATCCTGCCTCAGCCCAACAGTAAAGGAAAAGATTGTACAGCAAATACTAATGCCAATCATTGATTATGGGGATGTAGTATATGCATCTGCACCGCAATCCCACATTAATAAACTCAATACATTGTATAACTCGTTCTGCCGATTTGTGCTACAATGTAACTACAGAACCCACCACTGTCCTAATGTTTCTAATACCCCACCTCCTATAGTCTGTAAGCTCGTTTGAGCAGGGTCCTCTTCAACCTATTGTTCCTGTAAGTTTTCTTGTAATAGTCCTATTTATTGTTACATCCCCCCCTCTCAAAATATTGTAAAGCGCTATGGAATCTGTTGGCGCTATGTAAATGGCAATAATGATAATTGTGACATGCTAAAACTAAACTGGCTGTCGCTGGAATGCAGACGGACCCTTCATCTTTCTAGCCTTGTGTTTAAGAGCTTTTCTGGGAAACCCCCACCCTAAATGAGCAGAATGCTCTCCTCGACTGTTCCCACCTCCTATAACCTCCGATCCAGTACCAGCACTTTATTTAGTCTACTTTAATACAAAAAGAAAGCGGCCCAATCCTCCTTCTCCTACAGAGCGCCGCAATTGTGGAATGACCTCCTGCACACTTTAAAATCTTCCCCAAGCCTAGAGTCGTTTAAGAGATCCCTCTCTACATACCTCAAAACATGGTTGATTATATATTTCCTACCTATTCTATGTTAAATCTTGTATATATTGTGTATTTAATATTGTTTTTGTATTTTATTGTACCATAATGTATCAATGCAATGTTTTGTGGACCCAGGACATACTTAAAAATGAGAGAAATCTCAATGTATCTTTCCTGGTAAAATATTTTATAAATAAATAACAAAATATTCCCTACATAGTATCCAGTAACCTCTCATCTACTCATTGGACAGGTATACAAGGCAAGGGTACCAAAGCTCAATGTGCTTATCACTACTATTATAAATTCTATCAGGAACCTTTGTAGCATTCAGTTAATGAAGTAAAATCAATTATACTTAAATATAAGAAATTGATTGGGGTTGAAACTCAAATATTTTATTTTTCAGTTAGGGTACATTTGACCAACTACCAGAACAGTTTTAAGTTTGAGCAGTCCCACCTGAAGGAACCTTCCACATCACCAGTAATTGGGAGAGACAAATGGAAAAATATCCTATGAAGTGGTTCAGGAGTGTGATATTGAGAGTAATTTACAATTAGTATTATGGAATTTTGGTGTTATAGAACTTTTGTAATGAAGGATAAGAATCTTCCTCCACTGGTCTTTGTTGAACGTTCTATAAAATAATCTGCCTAATTCATTTAAACAATGAAAAGTCTCCCCACCCATCTCCCAATATAAGATAATATAATGCAGGTAGGGCTTAGTCTACTAATTCATGTTTTAATGTAGGTGATGAAAAGAATTTCAGGTACATTAATTTAATTTATATTATTATTTATTTAAAACAGTAAAAACATGCATACATTGTAAACCTCTGTAAACCTCTCAGGAAAAAAAAAAAACAATCACATCCCCCCTCCAAGCAATTATTTGCTTAATTCAGTTTCTAAATATACATACATTTTCTCTATTACTTTGATAATTAATCATTATCAAATCAAATCATAAACAGGAAACAAGATTTGTGTAATCATGTCCTAATAAAAGTGAGAATTTCAAAATGAATATCAAATTATCAGGGCAAAATGGCCAAATTGAACACATAGGTAATGTGGGCAAATTTTGTTTTCAAATTGGTCATTTAGGTTAAAAATGTTAAATTCAGTTTGACATCTCCACAAAATCACAGTTTAGTAAATTACCCTGTTAGTGTATAATACAGGTGCTGCTTCAATACCACAATGATAAAGTAATCCTTTAATAAAAAAAACCCTTTAATAAATTATGGTTAATTAAAAAGTAAAACGTAATTTTTTATATTGTACAGTTAAAAAAATAGTCAATTATTTGCCAGTTAGGAAGAGGGATATCTCTATGTGCAGCTGCTTCTCTAGATGAGCAAATATTTTTTAAATAAGTAGATTTTCTTAGAATTTTGCTAAAACAATCTATATTTTACATACCTATATGAAAGAACACCTGACATTCACACTCTTGTAAAACCATATATAATAAAAATTTTCTATTTTACTTTTTGGTAAAATTCATAAAATTTTCATATTTTATATATTGCTTAAATATCTTTTAACATGTGCCTAACAATCTATTTAACTGGGTCCGCACAATCAAGCTTCAACAATTCATGTTTATGTTGTTAGACGTTTTATGATCACAAGCAGGGCGAATGTTTGCATTAAAGCAATGCACATGGAGAATGGTGGAGTTGATAAACTGCTGGAGCTCTTTGTGGTAGCTGCAAAAGAAAAGACACAGCGTGCATAAGTTTGACTTAAATATAAAATAATAATAAGTATATTTTCAACATTTAGGAACATTTCTGTTTAACATGGTATTGTTAAGAGTTATGTTTAATTTCCTAGCCATATTCTGATCATGATATTTAAAGCCATAAATGACACTGGTCCCTCTTATCTCCTAACATAGCCCATTTGTTCTTGTTGCCACATTGTTTTCAACTTGCCTTCTATACTCTCCCAAGGCTAATATCTTTCTTTCATTCTTAACTCCTGCTCTATCTATATACATTAATGAACAAACCCAAATTCATGTCAGCAGGAATTCTCTACAGATTTCTCTCTAATTGAATATTTAATACATGATTTATAGTTTCTTATTAATAATATTTAGTTTTTAACAGCTCACATCAATGTCAGTCACTCTAATGATTCCCTTTTTCTCTAAAATTCATTGAAATTCTGATCCTAATGCTCCCAAATATATATCAATTCTTCTCTCAAAAAAACAAGTTGCCTTCTTTGATATCCTGTGGATCAACACTTTCCCTCTATTCTAAACCTTTTACTGGTTATCTCAATGTTTTATTGTACATACTTTTTACCCACTCTTTGGTGGACTTTCCAATAGATTTTTACAAGTTTTATGTTAGTTTATTTATTTATTAAGAGTTCTTGCACAGCAAGACAATTTACTGGTATCTCACCTATATATTATTCTTATTATTATTCTTATTCTTATTATAGCCACATTTACCACCCTAACTCTTCCCACAGTTTTTACACTACATAGACAGTAATATACCAAAATGTGTGGATTGTTCCTGATTGGTGTGCTATTACTTTATGGAACGTCTCACGAATCGTTCACAAAATATCGTTGTTTTTGTGGCAAAATTGTTCCCATAGAAATGAATGTCGAAATGTTCAAAACTAGAGTGGGAGCTGACAAAAGCTGAAAAATCAGCATATGATTTCTAAACTGCCACCACTCCCTCATTTACAAGCCCACGTACTACACAAATCTTATATCAAAACATTCAGCTATCCCTGCTGCCACTAAAAATGTCTACAGCTAAGCCATAGTCCTGATAGTTTTCACAATATGACCATATGTTTGCAACTCACGTCGTCCTTTGACATTCATTGAAACTCCACTCTAGCCACCTCAAATTTAAAGGGAAATTTCTAAACTGAGACTGTGCCTTCATTTTTAATATGTCAGAGACATACTATACATCAAAATGTAGGTCTGGGTCTTGTGATTCTCACAATATAAAGCTCTTCACTGTAGGATTTATAGTTTTTAAAATACGACCGTTTGAAGATGGCAACCGCCAGTAAAGTGAGCAATTTGGAGCAGTTTGTTTTTAACTGCTCTTCTCTGTCCTGTTTGAAATCTATTAGTTCCTGTTGGCAGTTGGTGGAATGTTCGAGGGATTTGAAATGGCAGCTGCAGAAACCCTGTGTAACAAGGTTGCAATATGAAGATGCTGTTATATATTTATTAATAAACTGAGTACTTCGTTATACAGGAATCATTGACTAATTTGTACAAAAGATCACAGTGGCAGCAGGGATAGCTGAAAGTTTTGATATAAATTGGTACATTTATATCCCTGCATGGCAAGACCACTTACTATTATCTCACATATATATTATTATTCTTATTGAGCAATTTGGAGTAGTTTGTTTTTAACCTTTTCTCTGCCCTTGCTGTAGAGTGAGTTAACCACACTTCAACCTTTCCACAGTTACTCCAGCCACTCCAACCACACAACAGTTACTCAAGCCACTCTACCCAGTTACTCTGCCCACTCCAGTTGTAAACTACTGGTGGAAGCAAGAACACGTCACACAATTTCCCCTGAAATTGTAGCTTTTCTAGTTTATTGTTGTTTTAGTCGAATTTAGTTGAATATGTATAGTTAGTGTTTGGGGTATTCCTTTAATTGCAAAATAGCTCAGTGCTGTGAGAGAATTTACCTTGATTCCAAGGTTCAAGCTTATAGGTGTCATATTTTTCCTATATTAAAATTGGCTAACTTGGACCCAGGAAATGCTTAATGCTCAAAACAGCACTTGAGACCATATATGTCTAGTTCCGGGAGGAGATAGCCCCCACCTCAGCTGTCTCTCCTAAATCAGTCTGTTCACTCTCTTTCCCAGAAATTATCTGTTATATGTACATGACGTTCATCCCTATGTCTTATCTGTACTTCCCTGTTATTTTACTTCCTTCCTTCTACTGTTCTATGAGTATTTGCACGTAAGCACATTTTAATGTATAAAAGCACAAACTGTTAAAATAAAGGTTAGAGCTAGAGATGTCGCGAACATAAAATTTTCAGTTCGCGAACGGCGAACGCGAACTTCCGCAAATGTTCGACAACGGGCGAACTGGGCGAACTGCCATAGACTTCAATAGGCAGGCGAATTTTAAAACCAACAGGGACTCTTTCTGGCCACAATAGTGATGGAAAAGTTGTTTCAAGGGGACTAACACCTGGACTGTGGCATGCCGGAGGGGGATCCATGGCAAAACTCCCATGGAAAATTACATAGTTGATGCAGAGTCTGGTTTTAATCCATTAAGGGCATAAATCACCTAACATGAGTGCTGCTTGTACTCATGTGTTGATCCCATAGGCGTTTGTGATGTGCGATCATGTGCCTTCGCAAAGCAGTTGTACCTAGGTGGGTGTTGGACTTCCCATGACTCAGTTTCTTTTGGCACAGGTTGCAAATGGCATCGCTGTTGTCAGAGGCAGACACACACAAAAAATGCCACACTGCTGAGCTCTGCAAAGACGGCATTCTGGTGGTGGCAACAGCTCCTTGCGACGACCTCCCCCTGCTTCCAACTCATCTCCTCCTCCTCCTCCTCCTCTCTGTCTCCCAATCTGAACTTTCCCCCTGTTCTTCTTCTCTTCTAGCAGGCACCCACGTGACATCCACGGACGCATCGTCATCATCAACCGCTTCACTTGTATCTGACAACTCAGCAAAGGAAGCAGCAGCGGGTACAACATCATCATCATCACACCGTACGTCCATGTGTGTAATGCTGCCTGACTGAGACATATCCCTGTTATCTACATCCTCTGGCAATAATGGTTGCGCATCACTCATTTCTTCCAACTGATGTGTAAATAACTCCTCTGACATACCAAGTGAAGCTGCTGTGGTGCTAGTGTTGGTGGTGGCGGCAGGCGGGCGAGTGGTAACTTGAGAGGTGCCCGAAGCTAAGCTGGAGGAGGATGGTGCATCAAGGTTCCGAGCGGAAGCTGTAGAAGATTGGGTGTCCTGTGTTAGCCAGTCAACTATGTCCTCAGAACTTTTTGAGTTCAGGGTACGTGGCCTCTGAACACTGGGCATTATTCTAGGGCCAAAGGGAATCACAGCACAACGACCACAACGGCCCCTGCGTGGTGGCCTGCAACTGCCGTTCATTTTTTTTTCGATTAGTGGTACTATGCGTGCAAGCTACTGTGACAACAGATATGAGTGGCACTGTGCAGTGGCAGAAGTTGGCAGAGTAGACGCTGTAGGCCTGACACACACGCTTGCAGACAACTAACTGCTATTCAATCTATTACAGTCGAAATTTTTTTTATTTTTTTTTAAATGTACACTACTGTTACACCAGATATGAGTTGCACTGGTGTGACACTGTGCCCTGGCAGGCCCTGAAATGCACACTCGTGAAGGAAACTGACTGCTATTATATTACAGTCCAAAAAGTTTTGTTTTTTTTTAAATGCAAGCTATTGGGACACCAGTGAGTGAGTGGTGGCACTAGGCAGGTCCTGAAACGCACACTCGTGAAGGAAACTGACTGCTATTATATTACAGTCCAAAAAGTTGTTTTTTTTTAAATGCAAGCTATTGGGACACCAGTGAGTGAGTGGTGGCACTGGGCAGGCCCTGAAGCGCACACTCTTGAAGGAAACTGACTGCTATTATATTACAGTCCAAAATGCTTTGTTTTTTTTAAATGCAAGCTATTGAGACACCAGTGAGTGAGTGGTGGCACTGGGCAGGCCCTGAAATGCACACTCGTGAAGGAAACTGACTGCTATTATATTACAGTCAAAAAAGTTTTTTTTTTTTTTTTTAAATGCAAGCTATTGGGACACCAGTGAGTGAGTAGTGGCACTGGGCAGGCCCTGAAACGTACACTAGTGAGTCTGGTTCTTGTGGTCATATTTATATTTCACCATTTTAATTAAACTGATCTTGTGATGACGATTGTGTAATGTACTGATATATCTTACAATCTAATTATACATATAAATATGAATAATGATCAATATCCCAATGAGTGAAACCAAAACGTCAATAATACTCACAACACCTTATGTGGGTATTCCCTTTAACCCCACAAAAACACAAAAGTATACATACAATATAAGGTGAAGTATATGAATAGAGATCCTTTCAACAGTAATGTTTAACCGGGTAGTGATCTTTAACCTTTCCCTAAAAATAAGCACAAATAGGGAAAAGGAATAGTGCAATATTACCAATGTCCAGTTAATGATAATAATAAATAGGTAATGGTGCACTCACAAACATAGAGCCACTGAATAGGCTTAATAATTGAAGCACTGTGGGTGCTAAAGGGACCCACTTCCTTTTTTATATGATGTAGGAGATTCCAATGGCAGGAACTTATTCTCAGATGTAAATCAATAAAGTGCTTTATTTATTAAAGTGCACAAGAAAATCAATTAAATAAGTTGATAGATTAAATAAAAAACCTTAGAGTCTGAAGGTAGTCCTTAAAGTACTGTGCAAAACGCGTTTCGCCTCAAAACGAGGCTTCCTCAGTTGCTGGTTGTAGTTTCTCTAAAATCCGTTTAAATGCCTTCCCTTTTGGCGGTTTTTTTCATCATCCTCGTGGTTCGGAACATATTTTTACTTCCTCTTCCGGTTTGCGTTCCACTTGTGGAACGCATACACCACTATGCGTTCCACAGCGTCATTTTATTTTACCTTCATTTCCTCTTCCGGTATTCGGCATTTGCGTTCCACTAAAGGAACGCAAAAAAACACGTGACGCGCCTCGTGCATCGTGGCCGTCACGTGACTTATGTGCAGAACAAAATTCAACTCCTCGGTTGGGGAGTAATCAATTCACATATGCAGCTTCTGTATTTAAAATGGTTCTTCTCTATAGTAGCTTGCAATAAAGTCTCTGGCATTAGTCTCTTCCTTAGAATTTATAGGAGAATATAAAGTCAAACATAAAAATAGAAATAAAAATAAAAAGGAACAAATATAATAAAGTATCTTCCTCTGTATTCCCCACATATATAAGAGTATCAAAAAAGTAAAATAGTAAATTATTTTCCATAAGAGCACATCAAATGAATACACAATATTAATACTAATATATATTCTAAAAAAGAAGAAAGTTAGGGAGAAAAAATAAATATAAAAATATAAAAATGTAAATAAAAATTTAAAAAGGCCAATAAAAAATGTATGATTTTATATATTACTTATGCATATATAACTACTGTTAATTAATAATATAAAATATAATTTAAAAAAATAATAATTTAGAAATAAATTGTTTAAAAATGACATACTTCAAAGTCGATATTAAGTCCATACGGTGACAACGTTTTGAATTCATAAATAAAACCCATTTCTTCTTTTCCCAAAGTTTTAATATAATTTCCCCCTCTCCAATCTCTTTTTACTTCTTTTATAGCACAGAAGAACAAAATTTTCAGGATTTTGGTTGTGTACCTGTTTAAAATGTAATGATACATTGTGAGTCTCTAAACCATTTCGTATATTTCTAATGTGTTCTGCTATTCTCACTTTTAGAGGTCTGATTGTTCTACCAATGTATAAAAGGTTACACGGACACTTCAGTATGTATATTATTCCTTTTGAGTGACAAGTAAGATGATCCCTTATGATATAAGGTTTTTGAATAATCGTTTCTATATCTTGTAGGTGTCTTTTTTTATTTTTAGTTATTTTACAAGGAAGACAAGATCCGCAACCAAAAAACCCCTTTAATTCTAAAATATGGTTATTTTGTTTTTTAGGGGATAGGTGACTCTTAACTAAAATACTTTTAAATTTTCTTGCTCCCCTATATATTATCTTGGGGTGTATAGGTAAAATTTGGTTTAAAATTGCATTTTGTTCTGCACATAAGTCACGTGACGGCCACGATGCACGAGGCGCGTCACGTTTTTTTTGCGTTCCTTTAGTGGAACGCAAATGCCGAATACCGGAAGAGGAAATGAAGGTAAAATAAAATGACGCCATGGAACGCATAGTGGTGTATGCGTTCCACAAGTGGAACGCAAACCAGAAGAGGAAGTAAAAATATGTTCCGAACCACGAGGATGATGAAAAAAACCGCCAAAAGGGAAGGCATTTAAACGGATTTTAGAGAAACTACAACCAGCAACTGAGGAAGCCTCGTTTTGAGGCGAAACGCGTTTTGCACAGTACTTTAAGGACTACATTCAGACTGTAATGTTTTTTATTTAATTTATCAACTTATTTTATTGAGTTTCATCTGAGAATAAGTTCCTGCCATTGGAATCTCCTACATCATATAAAGAAGGAAGTGGGTCCCTTTAGCACCCACAGTGCTTCAATTATTGAGCCTATTCAGTGGCTCTATGTTTGTGAGTGTACCATTACCTATTTATTATTATCATTAACTGGACATTGGTAATATTGCACTATTCCTTTTCCCTATTTGTGCTTATTTTTAGGGAAAGGTTAAAGATCACTACCCGGTTAAACATTACTGTTGAAAGGATCTCTATTCATATACTCCACCTTATATTGTATGTATAATTATACATATATAATGTCTAGGTAAGCATTGTAAAATAAGTATTTTATAGATACTACCTGAAATTAGTTTATGATGTTTCTGTTGTTTAAAATATATATTGTGTATATATAAAAACATGTTTTCTGATAGTTTGAACAAATGTATTATGAGTCCTGTGAGACTCTCACTTATCTTCCCGTTATGTTTCATCTGATGTCCTCTTTATATGTAATACAAATAAAAAATAAATAATAATAGGTGACTTCTTCCTATGACACATAAACCTTGACACTCAGCCAATCAATAGAGTAACTATCCATGGTTGCTCCGGCTAATGCTTCATTAGCCCTAGCAGCACAGAGGGGACACTTGATTGACATTAAAATATTGACAAAGGTTTAATGCTGAGTGGAAGGATGGTGGCGTGGAACTTCAGACACTATTATTATTTCAATGAAATAAAGGCATTTATTGGATTTTGATTACACAGAGTAGTGACATTTCCTGGAAAATATCAACATGTGTATTATAACACACAATTATCATCCTTTTGAAATATTAAACATATTGCTTAAATATGCTTCATTTTCTAACCACATTCTGGTCATGGTATTTAAAGCCATACCACAACCCTGTTCTGTTATCGATATCTTTTCTTGTCTCAGCAAATTTGCCATTTTTACTTTTGTAATTTGCCCAGGATTCAGATATTTCTTTTATACAAAGCTGATAATCCATATATACAGTATATAAATGTACACACAAACAAATCATGTTAAAAAAGCAAATCTGTGTAGCTTTGTCTCTAATTGTATATTTTATTTATTGTTATATGTAGATATACTTGTATTTTTATTTAATATTATTTATAGCTGTTATTAGCAGCTCACTACTCTACTAGTCCCTCAAATGACTCAGTATTGCCCCTAAAATGCTTTCAAAATTCTAATCCTACTATTTAAAGCCATGAACAATACTGCTCCTAAATATCTATCAATTCCACCTTCAAATATCAAGTTGCCTACTTTGATATCCGCAGGATCAATATTATTTCTCAACTCTAACCCTTTTACTAATTATATCTTTGTTATGTTGGGTATACATTATATCCATTCTTTGTTGGAATTTCCTATAATCTGACAATTTCTTTTTTGTATAATCACCTTATTTGTGGAATATACTGCATATAGTTTTCTTAAATATTTATTGTACCTGTTGTTACTCTGTGAGAACTGTTGTATAAATACAATTTTATGCATACATTTTAATTGCAATTTCCAGGCAAGCATTTCATACAATGTGTTCCAAAGACATTCTATTAATCTTTATCACATCTATAGAGAATGGGAAGAGCCTTTCTTACCTGTGGTATTAGAAGATGGTGTGGGTGCAACTGAAATACAGAAAGTCATGGTTTGATCATTCAATTATCATAATACAGCCATATTGTAAAACTCAGTAATTATGTCCGTTGGCCCAGTGAGTTAGTAGCCTTTCACTAAACGGCAGATAAGAACCATTCGGCCCATCTAGTGTGCCCAATTTTCTAAATACTTTCATTAGTCCCTGGCCTTATCTCCAGGGAAAATTGTGCCCCAAACATATTAGCAGAGTCTAACTCCAATCTAACACTGCACACATGAATCATAAGACCTGGTGAAAAATAGTTGTTAAAAAAAAGTCACACTCTAATAGGAAAATAACCACAAGATTCAATCTTATTATTTTTTTTTGGGGGGGAGAGGGGGAATTCCAGGAAGTAATTGTAGTATTAGAACAAAACAAAAAAAAACAGACATGTTAAACTTTCAGTTTTTTTACATTAATAAGGAATTTTTTCTGCAATCTCTTTTGTGAGTCTGGTCCTTGTGGTCATATTTATATTTCACCATTTTAATTAAACTGATCTTGTGATGACGATTGTGCAATGTACTGATATATCTTACAATCTAGTTATACATATATAATGTCTAGGTAAGCATTGTAAAATAAGTATTTTATAGATACTACCTGAAATTAGTTTATGATGTTTCTGTTGTTTAAAATATATATTGTGTATATATAAAAACATGTTTTCTGATAGTTTGAACAAATGTATTATGAGTCCTGTGAGACTCTCACTTATCTTCCCGTTATGTTTCATCTGATGTCCTCTTTATATGTAATACAAATAAAAAATAAATAATAATAGGTGACTTCTTCCTATGACAAGTAAACCTTGACACTCAGCCAATCAATAGAGTAGCCATCCATGGCTGCTTCGGCTAATGCTTCATTAGCCCTAGCAGCACAGAGGGGACACTTGATTGACATTAAAACATTGAAAAAGGTTTAATGCTGAGTGGAAGGATGGTGGCATGGAACTTCAGACACTATTATCATTTCAATGAAATAAAGCAGTTACAATGCCTACAATGTTCCTTTGGTAGAGGTATGATGGAGGCTAGTAATGCTCACACATGTTTAGAACTTTTGTGTTGTGAAATGCTTCTACTAAAATGTACGAAGTCATTTCATTTTACTGCAACAACTTCCTCTAAGTTAAAAATAAGGTTGCTCAGCCTTGTATCTATGCCTCCTTTATAAAAAGATCTGTTTGTATTTCAAGAACATATTATGCAACACACAGTATTTTTCATTAACTTACCATAGATTATTGTCACACTAGCTACATTGGTATTAGTCCCAGTTCCATTTAGGATATAAACGCTAGAAGAAAATACATTTACAGATATTAAAACACAGGCAAAAATGTGCTGTTTCTAACACTAGTTTTAATTATATCAATTGTATCATATTAGAATTCTAGGAGGAAAGGAAAAACTAAACACAAACATTTAATAGAATTATTCTCCAAACTGTATATTTTGGAGAATTCAAAGTGAATTCCAATTTGGTATTTTGATATGAAATCACTCTTTAGTGAAGAACTATGTCAAGCTCTGTGCATAGAGTAGCTTTGGGTAGATAATTGTTTATTGGAATGTAGTATATATTAATTTGTAGTGTTGGTGGCTGGAGTATTTTGATTGCAGTATCCCTTCAAGGGTATAGGAGAGTGGGCATCTCAGCAGTCTATGTGTAATACATTAAGGTTCCAGTCCCTAGTACATCTCCTGGGTTATTAATAACAAGAACAGCAATGATATTACTAAGGTTCTCTACACTGCTGCCCATGCAGTGGAGAGAATTAATATTTTCAGTTAGAATTGACAGGTTTACAACTGTTATTTCCATAGCATAGTGCTTTCTCAGAAGTTACACCAGAGAAATAGATCTTCTGGCTCAGCTCAGTTATAAACAAAAGCCATGCTGTCAAATGTAATCGTGAATATCATGGGTCTTTAACCTGACCAGTCAGTAGTGATGTGTCAATTTACATTGTTTAGTGAAAAAATGGGGCAAAGGTGAAAAAATGGGAACAGAAGTCCGGGTCCCCAGTTATACAGGATAAATAGGAAAATGCATACTATAACACATCACATGGATTGAAAAGAATGTACAGACACAGCATACATATACAACAATGTAAAGAAAAAGGAACTAATATGATTACGTTGAGAAACTTTATGTTAACTCTTTCTTTAGCTAAGAACATTCTTCTTTTTATTACAGTGCTCACTGTTCTTATTTAAAGGAACACTATAATGTTAGGAATATATTACAGTTATCTGGAAGAGCTGGTTGGTCTCCTCCTCCAACGTCAGCCGATTGTGGAAAACGAATGTGGATTGGTGGCATGAGCCGCACGCACATTAGGTCTTCCCCTTAGAAAAGCATTGACTCAATGCTTACCGATAATGATTTAGAAGATGCTGGACATTCTCATGTAAAGTCTGAGGATGTCCAGAGTCATTTCACTGAGTTTTGCTCTGTGAAACTGCAGGAGGCACCCTAGTAGACAGCCACAAGAGCAAGCCTTTCTCTGAAGTTGCAATGTTTTATATTGTAGGCCTAAGAGGACAGGGACAGTGCATGCAGACCACTGCAATGAGATGAAATGGTCTGGATGCCTATAGTGTCCCTTTAAGTTCTTTTTTTTTCCACCAATTTGTGTTTTTGCTCTTTCATTTCCTGAATTGTAGACTGTAAGGAAGGAAAGGATGAAGAACAATGAATGTCGGGAAAGGGGGACCTGTAAAAACAGAGTGTGGAGAGATAGAAAATGATAAATGCTAAAGGCAACTGTAATAAGGAAATTGTATTAAAAGAGATGAAACCCATTACCGCTTCTTATCTTAATTAATATAATGCTCTACTGCTGTCCCCCTGTATCAGCTCCTCATAATTCATATAAATGTCCTGCTGTCTGTACCAGCTTATCCCTTGTATTTGCGCTTCTTCACAAGTCTTCTTTTCACACTGCCATTCCAGCTCACTTTTTAATTTTCTCATTTACGATCTTTTCAGAAGTTACTTGTTATATCTACATATTCATTCTCTCCCTCCAAACCATTTATCTTACCATTGATATCGACATCACTGCTCAACATTTGTTTTTTCAATAGCTACCCAGTAGAAATCAAAGGGCTAATTGTGGCATGTGTGTTATTAGTTCGCAATCACTGGGCTAGATCATCAAGGATGTGTCTCCTTACCACAAAAAAAATCACGTTGGCAGCAAATCTGTATTATTTCCTTATTATTTATATCTATTTTTTGCAGCTCACTACTCTACTAGTCACTCAAATGACTCAGTTTTGCTCCTAAAATTCCTACTATTTAAAGCCATGTTGTATAATCTTTATATTTGTGCATTATACTGCATGTAGTTCTCTTATTTATTTATTTATTGTAACCGCTGTTACTCTCTGAGAACTGTTGTTGTATAAATATAATTTTATACATACACTTTAATTGCAATTGCCGAGCAAGCATGGTGGATCACATTTCATACAATGTGTCATCAAGTATGGATTTCTTTACTAGCTTGCACATGTGTCCATTTGTTATATATTGGACATTTACATTAATGAACCATGACGCCTTAATATGTTCTGTATGAAAACCAAGGCTGATGTATTAAGAATATGATTTTACCTTAGTATAACTGAAGAATTCACAGAGCCCGGAGATGTCCAGTTTGTAGTGTTTGTTGTGCTGTTTGCACTGAAAGCAATTCCAAGATCACAGGTAGTAACACCGGTTGCATTTTGCCAAGTACCCACTGATGAATTATTTAACTGTGCCCTTAGGATCACTGTTTTTGTATCATTGAGTCCATTCACTGTCACTGTAAATAGAGGCAAATAAACAAATAAATTAAAACGAGAAAAAAAACAACAACATAATTTCATGTTAGACTTTAAAATGCTATAAAGAGCCTGAATTTACAGACACTGGAGATGTTTAATTTGCAAAAGTTGAGTTGGTTACATTAAAATCAATTTCAAGAGAATATGTAGTAGAATTTGTATATTGGAAAGTCCACAGTTTTTGGATTGTGCCCTTAGGATAATCGTGTGTGTGTTCTAGAGTCCTTTTACATTCACTGAAAAAACTGAGCAAAAACTAATTATTAACAAATAAAAACAGTAGGATCAACGCTATACAACCAAATAGAAAAGAAAAAGTGTCAGCAAACATAAAATATGGGGCTCCCTCAAAGACCCAACAGTACGATATTATATTATTTCCCGCGTGATTTGAAAATAAATGTGTATTGGAATAATTAGAACAAAAATGACATCACACTAGTGCACATTGACTTATACGCATCATTTAAGAAACACAAATATCACATTTTAAGTCCAGGAAATATGCTTACAAGGGCTGCTAGTTAATAAGATAAGCAAGAACATATTTAAGTAGTAAAGAGATATAATTACATATATATGATCCAAATTACCCTTTTCCAATCATTTCTATCCTCTTAGAGTCTTAGCTTGGGTTAACAACATTCAACTAAAGCTAGAGTTTCAACTAACCTCCAGTCCTGAAATGTATGATAAGGACAGGGCATGGACAAGTCACGATTGACTGCTAGATAGATGGCACATTCTGCTGATTTGCAAACTTGATTTTAGTCCCAGTTTTTTTGGTTTGGATTTTAATATTTTTGGATAAACTTTTCAAATAATGTAACATTTTTGGATAAACATTTTCCATGATTTAATATTATGAAAAATATTTTTTAAATATTAGAAACATAGAATGTGATGGCAGATAAGAACCATTCGGCCCATCTAGTCTGCCCAATTTTCTAAATACTTTCATTAGTAAATGGCCTTATCTTATAGTTAGGATAGCCTTAAGCCTATCCCACGCATGCTTAAACTCCTTTACTGTATTAACCTCCACCACTTCAGCTGGAAGTCTATTCCATGCATCCACTACCCTCTCAATAGAAACAAACTAATGAGGTGAGAAGCAATATTGTAATATTTATATTTTTGATTGATTGTCTTTTAATTTAACATTTGTGGGGTTTTTTTGTTTTTTTTTATTTGAAAAAATATTTTGAACGTTTATCCAAAAAGTTTTAAATCATCTGAGACATATCAGCTTCTAGCCTAAAAAGTTGAAGCAAGCTTTACCGAATCTTTGAGGCTTTACTTATAAGGCTACAATAATAGGATACTAATAGATTTGTTTTTTGTTTGTTTTTTTTTAAATGGAAATTGTAAGAGTAAAATGCATATTTACATCAATTTAAAAAAGATAGAAAATAAAAATGTTAGTATGCATGTTATTTTCCTAAAAATATGGGTTGGGGGTAAAACCCAAAGACAACTCTACAGTTTTGGGGGAAGGTTTATCAAAATAAATTTCTGTTTTGTGTGATATTTAACCTACGCAGATGCCTCTGCAGTGTGGCACTAGTACTTACAGTTATCATCGTCATTTTATATTATCATTATCTCACCTTTGTAGCTAGTGTTAGCAACGAGGTTTTGAGGTGAAACAGTCACAGTAAAATTCCCGGCAGTGGTGGCATTTATTGGATTTTGATTACACAGAGTAGTGACATTTTCTGGAAAATATCAACAAGTGTATTATAACACACAATTATCATCCATTTGAAATATTAAACATATTGCTTAGATATGCTTCATTTTCTAACCACATTCTGGTCATGGTATTTAAAGCCATACCACAACCCTGTTCTGTTATCTATATCTTTTTTTGTGTCAGCAAATTTGCCATTTTTACTTTTGTAATTTGCCCAGGATTCAGATAATTCTTTCATACAAAGCTGATTATCCATATATATAGTATATATTAATGTACACACAAACAAATCATGTTAAAAAAGCAAATCTCTGCAGATTTGTCTCTAATTGTATATTTTATTTATTGTTATATGTAGATATACTTGTATTTTTATTTAATATTATTTATAGCTGTTATTAGCAGCTCACTACTCTACTAGTCCCTCAAATGACTCAGTATTGCCCCTAAAATGCTTTCAAAATTCTAATCCTACTATTTAAAGCCATGAACAATACTGCTCCTAAATATCTATCAATTCCACCTTCAAATACCAAGTTGCCTACTTTGATATCCGCAGGATCAATATTATTTCTCAACTCTAACCCTTTTACTAATTATATCTTTGTTATGTTGGGTATACATTATATCCATTCTTTGTTGGAATTTCCTATAATCTGACAATTTCTTTTTTGTATAATCACCTTATTTGTGGAATATACTGCATATAGTTTTCTTAAATATTTATTGTACCTGTTGTTACTCTGTGAGAACTGTTGTATAAATACAATTTTATGCATACATTTTAATTGCAATTTCCAGGCAAGCATTTCATACAATGTGTTCCAAAGACATTCTATTAATCTTTATCACATCTATAGAGAATGGGAAGAGCCTTTCTTACCTGTGGTATTAGAAGATGGTGTGGGTGCAACTGAAATACAGAAAGTCATGGTTTGATCATTCAATTATCATAATACAGCCATATTGTAAAACTGAGTAATTATGTCCGTTGGCCCAATGAGTTAGTAGCCTTTCACTAAACGGCAGATAAGAACCATTCGGCCCATCTAGTGTGCCCAATTTTCTAAATACTTTCATTAGTCCCTGGCCTTATCTCCAGGGAAAATTGTGCCCCAAACGTATTAGCAGAGTCTAACTCCAATCTAACACTGCACACATGAATCATAAGACCAGGTGAAAAATAGTTGTTAAAAAAAAGTCACACTCTAATAGGAAAATAACCACAAGATTCAATCTTATTATTTTGGGGGGGGCAGGAGGGGAATTCCAGGAAGTAATTGTATTATTATAACAAAAACAAAAACAAAAAACAGACATGTTAAACTTTCAGTTTTTTTACATTAATAAGGATTTTTTTCTGCAATCTCTTTTGAGAGTCTGGTCCTTGTGGTCATATTTATATTTCACCATTTTAATTAAACTGATCTTGTGATGACGATTGTGTAATGTACTGATATATCTTACAATCTAATTATACATATATAATGTCTAGGTAAGCATTGTAAAATAAGTATTTTATAGATACTACCTGAAATTAGTTTATGATGTTTCTGTTTTTTAAAATATATATTGTGTATATATAAAAACATGTTTTCTGATAGTTTGAACAAATGTATTATGAGTCCTGTGAGACTCTCACTTATCTTCCCGTTATGTTTCATCTGATGTCCTCTTTATATGTAATACAAATAAAAAATACATAATAATAGGTGACTTCTTCCTATGACAAGTCAACCTTGACACTCAGCCAATCAATAGAGTAGCCATCCATGGTTGCTCCGGCTAATGCTTCATTAGCCCTTGCAGCACAGAGGGGACACTTGATTGACATTAAAACATTGAAAAAGGTTTAATGCTGAGTGGAAGGATGGTGGCATGGAACTTCAGACACTATTATCATTTCAATGAAATAAAGCAGTTACAGTGCCTACAATGTTCCTTTGGTAGAGGTATGATGGAGGCTAGTAATGCTCACACATGTTTAGCACTTTTGTGTTGTGAAATGCTTCTACTAAAATGTACCAAGTCATTACATTTTACTGCAACAACTTCCTCTAAGTTAAAAATAAGGTTGCTCAGCCTTGTATCTATGCCTCCTTTATAAAAAGATGTGTTTGTATTTCAAGAACATATTATGCAACGCACAGTATTTTTTATTAACTTACCATAGTTTATTGTCACATTAGCTACATTGGTATTAGTCCCAGTTCCATTTAGGATATAAACGCTAGAAGAAAATACATTTACAGATGTTAAAACACAGGCAAAAATGTGCTGTTTCTAACACTAGTTTTAATTATATCAATTGTATCATATTAGAATTCTAGGAGGAAAGGAAAAACTAAACACAAACATTTAATAGAATTATTCTCCAAACTGTATATTTTGGAGAATTCAAAGTGAATTCCATGTTGGTATTTTGATATGAAATCACTCTTTAGTGAATAACTATGTCAAGCTCTGTGCATAGAGTAGCTTTGGGTAGATAATTGTTTATTGGAATGTAGTATATATTAATTTGTAGTGTTGGTGGCTGGAGTATTTTGATTGCAGTATCCCTTCAAGGGTATAGGAGAGTGGGCATCTCAGCAGTCTATGTGTAATACATTAAAGTTCCAGTCCCTAGTACATCTCCTGGGTTATTAATAACAAGAACAGCAATGATATTACTAAGGCTCTCTACACTGCTGCCCATGCAGTGGAGAGAATTAATATTTTCTTAATTACTGGAGAGAGCAGATCAGTTCTTTCAGTTAATATTGTTGATCCACTCTCCCTATTTACAAGCCAGGGTTTGACAGACATTTATCTTTGTCACATTTTTAGCTTTAAAGTGTCAAAAAACATGTCACTGTCTGCAGTTAGAATTGACAGGTTTCCGACTGTTATTTCCATAGCAAATATTTTTCGCAGAAGTTACACCAGAGAAATAGATCTTCTGCCTCAGCTCAGTTACACACAGAAGCCATGCTGTCACATGTAATCATGAATATCATGGGTCTTTAACCTGACTTCAGACAGTAGTGATGTGTCAATTTATATTGTTTAGTGAAAAAATGGGGCAAAGGTAAAAAAATGGAAACAGAAGCCTGGGCCCCCAGTTATACAGGATAAATAGGCAAATGCATACCACAACACATCACATGGATTTAAAAGACAATGTACAGACACAGCATACATATACAACAATGTGGGAAAAAAAAATGGGGGAAAACTAATGCGGATGGGCGGCATGCGCCACACACACATAAGGTCTTCCCCTTAGAAAAGCATTGAATCAATGCTTACCAATAATGATTTAGAAGATGCTGGACATTCTCATGTAAAGTCTGAGGATGTCCTGAGTCGTTTCATTGAGTATAGCTCTGTGAAGCTCTGTGAAACTGCAAGAAGCACCCTAGTAGACAGCCACAAGAGGAAGCCTTTCTCTGAAACTGCAGTGTTTTAGACTGTAGGGCTAAGAGGACAGGGACAGTGCATGCAGACCACTGCAATGAGATGAAATGGTCTGCAATGAGATGAAATGATTCTTTTTTTTTCACCCATTTGTGTTTTTGCTTTTTCATTTTCTGAATTTTAGACTGTAAGAAAGGAAAGGATGGAGAAGAATGTCGGGAAAGGGGGACCTGTAAAAACGGAGTGTGGAGAGATAGAAAATGATAAATGGTAAAGGCAACTGTAATAAGGAAATTGCATTAAAATAGATGAAACCCATTACCACTTCTTATCTTAGTTTACATAATGCTCTACTGCAGTGGCGTACTAAGGGAGGAGAAGGGGGGGCGGTCTGCCCCGGGTGCCATCAGGTAGGGGGGTGCCACCAGGGCTGGTCAGGCTTGGTATTCTATGAGCTGTGTGGCTGCACTGGGTGCCATAGCAGCAGGGGCGCCGGGCAGCCGACACAGCTCACACACACAGGGGCTAGGAGCAGGAGCAGGAGACCTGGCTGCACAGAGATTTGGGTGCAGAGCCAGGTCGGCCATGGGGGCGGAGCCAAGCTGGATGTGGGGGCGGAGCTAAATGCAGCCTCGTACTGCTGCACACAGAGGGGAAGCAGGAAGGAGTCCCTGCTTCCCCAACTACAACACAGCAGGGGCTCACAAAATGTACTCCTTCTCCAGCCCAAGCTTACTGTAAGTGAGAGAGTGTGTGCTGTGTGTAACTGTGATTGTGACTGTCTTTGACTGTGTGTGTGATTGTCTGCCTGTGTGTGTGTGATTGTCTGCCTGTGATTGTCTGTGTGACTGTGTGTGTGTGATTGTCTGCCTGTGATTGTCTGTGTGACTGTGTGTGTGATTGTCTGCCTATGATTATCTGTGTGACTATGTGTGTGATTGTCTGCCTGTGATTGTCTGTGTGACTGTGTGTGTGATTATCTGCCTGTGATTGTCTGTGTGACTGTGTGTGATGGTCTGCCTGTGATTGTCTGTGTTACTGTGTGTGATTGTCTGCCTGTGATTGTCTGTGTGACTGTGTGTATGATTGTCTGCCTGTGATTGTCTGTGTGACTCTGTGTGTGTGATTGTCTTCCTCTGTGTGTTTGTGTGACTGTCTGTCTGTGTGTGTGTGTGAGTGACTGTCTGTCTGTGAGTGTGTGTGTGTGTGACTGTCTTTGACTGTGTTGTTTGTATGTGTGACTGTCTGCCTGTGATTGTGTGTGTGACTATCTATGTGTGTATGTGTGACTGTCTGCCTGTGTGATTGCCTGCACGTTTGACTGTCTGCCTGTAACTGTGTGTGAGTGACTGTGTGTGGGAATGTGTGCATCTGACTGTGTCTGACGGTCTTCGCACTGCAGTGAGCCTGCAGCTAGGATATAATGTCATCGCGGCCTCGGCGTCATTACAGGGCATGTGATGGACCTGTGCAGGAAGAGCACAGAGATCCCAGCAGCAACCACTGACCACCAGAGACTGAGGATCCACTCCAGCCCTTCAAGAGCAAGGTAGGGAGTCTGGGTGGACCTCTTAATTATTAAATCTGTGTATGTATGTAATGTTTGTGTGTGTATGTGATTGTGTGTCTGTGATTGTATGTGTGTGGGTCAGTGATTGTGCTTGTGTATATCTGTGATTATCTGTGTGATTGTGTGTATCTCTGTGTATGTGTTTAGTAGATAGCTCCCTTATTTCCTGTCCTTAAATATTGCAATCCCACATAAGGATAACAAATAAGAGATTTATCTACTAAACAACTGAAAATTATAAAAGTGTTTTTTTAATCCTCTAGCTGTTTAGTAGATCATTCCCTGAATTGGTGCCCGTATGTGAGATTTCCATATTTAAAGATACCAAATGAGGGTGCTGTTTAGCAGATAGCACCTTATTTGGTGTCCTTAAATATGGCAATCCCACAAAGGATAGCAAATAGAGGAGTTATCTGCTAAACAAAGATTGAAATTAAGAGGTGTCAGCCAGCCCACAGCAAGAAATCTGGGTGGCTAATGTGAATTATATGCAAATGTGTAGTCAGATGCCAGCATGCAGAACACAGCATGCTGGCATCAGACAGCCAATGGCAACATATTACCCCATCCCGTAGTGAGACGTTTTACTGCTCCCTCTCCCCCTCCTGTTTTGACTGTTGTATCTTATGTGCCCCCCCCTTACATATTGTTCCTAGAGTAGCCACGATGTCTGCATGTGTGTCAATGTGTATCTGTGTGTGACTGTGTTTGTGTGTATATGTATCTGCATGTGTGTATGTCCGTATATGTATCTGCATGTGTGTATGTCCGTGTATGTGTATATGTGCAGACATCTAAAAATCTCGCCAACACTACACACAAATACACTCATGCATTTCAACATCAACACTACATACAAACCCCACCATTATATATAACCATACCACTGCATTCAAATACCACACAACACACAAATGCATGCTTGCATTCAAACGCCAACACTACATACAAAGACACCGCTACATTCACTCACACATACTCCATACAAAAACATGCATACATTCAAACACACAAATACTGCTTAGTGCCATCTACATATAAAAAAAAAATAGGACCCGCCGCGGGTGTCAAATGCTCTAGGTACGCCCCTGCTCTACTGCTCTGCCCCGTATCAGCTCCTCGTAACTCATATACATTTCCTGCTCTCTTTACCAGCTCATCCTGTGTATTTGCACTTTTTCACAATCCTTCTTTTCACACTGCCATTTCAGTTCCATTTTTAATTTTCTCATTTATGATCTTTTCAGAAGTTACTTGTTATGTCTGCATATTCATTCTCTCCCTCCTCTATTTCAAACCGTTTATACTGCCATTGATATCAACATCACTGCTCAACATTTGTTCTTTCAATAGCCCATCTAGTCTGCCCAATTTTCTAAATACTTTCATTAGTCCCTGGCCTTATCTTATAGTTAGGATAGCCTCATGCCTATCCCATGCATGCTTAAACTGCTTTACTGTGTTAACCTCTATCACTTCAGCTGGAAGGCTATTCAATGCATCCACTACCCTCTCAGTAAAGTAATACTTCCGGATATTATTTTTAAACCTTTGCCCCGCTAATTTAAGACTATGTCCTCTTGTTGTTGTAGTTTTTCTTCTTCTCCCTTCTCTGAACTCTCTCTAAAGTACGGTCTCCAGTACTGCGTACAATATTCCAAGTGAGGTCTCACCAGTGTTCTGTACAATGGAATGAGCACTTCCCTCTTTGTACTGCTAATACCTCTCCCTATACAATGAAGCATTCTGCTAGCATTAACTGCTGCTCTATTACATTATCTGCCTACCTTTAAGTCATCTAAAATAATTACTCCTAAATCCCTTTCCTCAGATGTTAAGGTTAGGACTTTATAAATATTCTGTACTCTGCCCTTGGGTTTTTATGTCCAAAATGCATTATCTTGCACTTATCCACATTAAATGAAGTGGTCTGGGTGCCAGGTCCATCTAGGATTAACCCTTTTTTCTATAAAAATAGCAGTTTCAGAGAAACTGCTATGTTTATAATAAGGTTAATCCAGCCTCTAGTGGCTGTCTCATTGACAGCCGCTAGAGGGCTTCCGCGCTTCTCACTGTGAAAATGGAGAAAGAGGTAAGTTTAACCCCTTCCTCCCCCTAGAGCCCGGCAGGAGGGGGACCCCGAGGGTGGGGGCACCCTCAGGGCACTATAGTGCCAGGAAAACAAGTGTGTTTTCCTGGCACTATAGTGGTCCTTTAAATGTCAGTTGCTACAACTCTGACCATTTTTCTAGTTTACCTAAATCATTTGCCATTAGGCTTATCCCTCCTGGAACATCAACCCTGTTACATATCTTAGTATCATCAGCAAAATGAACAATAACATCTCAAACCCTAGAAACTTTTGGAAAGTCATAAATAAATTACAAACTCCCTCAGTCCACTCCCAACCCTCCACTGTCAAAGTGGATAACCAAATCCTGCAACTTTCCTTAGATGTAGCAAATGCCTTTAACAATTATTTTGTCGGATGCTCCACTGCCCTGATTGCCAAGCTAACAAATGACACGCATTCTGAAACTACAAATGTGGATCAGGCCCCACTGAATTTGCAAAGGCCCAATATAGACAGGTTCATTTTTTAGACCTGTACCTATTAGTGTCATTAAAAAACACCTTAATAATCTAAAAATGAAAAAACAGTCTGGACGTGATCAAATCTCAGCAATGCTGTTGAAGCTCAGTGCGCCGGCAATTGCTAAACCAGTCACAACCCTAATTAACAAATCCTTGATGCTCGGATACACACCCAAACTTTGGAAGACTGCGAGAGTAGTGCCTATCCATAAAAGTGGTGACACTACTTTGGTTTCTAACTATCGCCCAATATCATTGCTCCCAGTATTGTCAAAAATCTTAGAAAAATGTGTCCATATGCAACTATGTGAGAATTACCAACAATCAAACTATATGACCCCTGATCAATCGGGTTTTTGCCAGAATCACTCCACTACAACTGCCTTCTTAAAAGTTTGCAATGACATCCAAACTGGCATGGAACAAGGAGACCTAACTGGAGCTATTTTCCTTGATTTTGCAAAGGCCTTTGACACAGTAGACCACGACATTCTACTGCACAAACTAAAAAACTCAGGTATTGGTGATTGTCCGCTAACCTGGTTTTGATCGTATGTATCGGATTGCTCGCAATATGTGTCCATTTCTGACAGCGACTACCTCCCTCTCCCAGTTACGTGTGGTGTTCCCCAAGGTTCCATTCTCGGCCACCTACTATTTACATTATTTATAAATGATCTGCCTAATGTCTGCAAATCCTCAAATGTACACAAGTATGCAGACGACACAGTAATCTATGCAAGCAAATCCGATCTACCGCAGCTTGAGGCTGTGCTTCAAGACCAGTAGAAAAGTGGATCGCAAAAAACAAACTCTTCCTAAACACTGACAAAACTGTCACAATGATATTTGGAACAGTACCTAAATTACACAAATTACCCAATTCCCACCTATCCATTAAAACAAATTCATGTAGCACACTGACTGCAGTCCACTCTTTCAAATACTTGGGTATGTTGTTAGACTCCAATCTATCTTTTGGCCTCCACATAGAAAAACTTGCATCTGAACTTTATCCAAAACTAAGTGCCCTGTACAGAAACAAATCCTACCTAAGCCCTACAGTAAAGGAAAAGATTGTACATCAAATGCTGATGCCAATCACTGATTATGGGGATGTAGTATATGCATCTGCACCGCAAACCCACTTTAATAAACTCAATACATTGTATAACTTGTTCTGCCCATTTGTGCTACAATGTAATTACAGGACCCACAATTGTGACATGCTAAAAGAACTAAACTGGCTGTCGCTGGAATCCAGACGCACCCTTCATCTGTCCAGCCTTGTGTTTAAGAGCTTTTCTGGGAAACTCCCACCCTACCTGAGCAAAATGCTCTCCTCGACTGTTCCCACCTCCTATAACCTCCGATCCAGTACCAGCACTTTATTTAGTCAACCTCAATACAAAAAGAAAGCAGCCCGATCCTCCTTCTCCTACAGAGCACCGCAACTATGGAACGACCTCTGGCACACTTTAAAATGTTACCCAAGCCTAAAGTCCTTTAAGAGATCCCTCTATACATACCTCAAAAAAGAATGCATGTGTCATGGTTGATTATATATTTCCTGCCTGTTCTATGTTAATTTTTTTATTTATTGTGTATTAATATTGTTTTTGAATTTTATTGTACCATAATGTATCAATGCAATGCTTTGTGGACCCAGGACATACTTGAAAATGAGAGAAATCTCAAAGCATCTTTCCTGGAAAAATATTTTATAAATATAAAAAATGTATAAATATAACTATAAATGACTTGGTTTTGCTCCTAAAATTCTTTTAAAGTTATATTCCTACTATTTAGAGCCATTTTGTATAATCATTATATTTCTGGAATATACTGCATATAGTTTTCTGATTTATTTATTGTACCTGCTGTTACTCTCTTTTAAGATACCCTTAAAAATAAAGTTGAAACTATTGAGATGAATCAACCCATACCAGCTTTTATAACCCAATATAACCACCAGTCCCGCACTATAGAGAAAATCTTAAAGAAACATTGGAATATCCTCATGAGTGACCCTTCCTTGATAGGTATTCTGGAGAACCAACCACGTATCATCTTTACCAAAGCACCCAATCTACAATTACTTTTGGCTCCAACTCTCAAGCAATGCAAGATCCAACAAGACACGATGGCCACAAAAAGTTTCAAGCGGTGTAAAAAATGTGTTGCGTGTACTAATAATCCTTCTCTGGATTTTGAAATGACTAAATTCACATCTATGGATGGCATGAAGGAATATGATATTAAGACCAACATGAATTGTGATTCAAAAGGAGTTATCTATCTCATCACATGTCCATGTTCTAAACAGTATGTGGGACGTACAAAAAGGGCATTGAAGACGAGGATGGCGGAACACATAAGGAACATTAGAAAGGGTCTCCAAACCCACAATTTGTCAAGACATTTCCAAGACTTTCACGGAGGAGACCCCACAGGACTAAGATTCCTACCGATTGAAAAGGTAGATGTCAATTGGAGAGGGGGCAATATAGATAAGAATCTGGACCAAACAGAAGCTAGGTGGATATTCCACCTAGAGACTTTGGCCCCTAAGGGTCTTAATTTGGATTTTGAACTCAATGCATTCTTATAAAGTTTACCTTTTTTTTTTTTTTTCATAACCCAGTTTTTTATACATACACAAGCACATTTTCACACTGCGCACTTTATATTGAGTAATATTATCCATCACTTTTTAATTCCTTGCACTAGTTCTTCTACTCAGTATATAGTCGCAATTCACATTTTAGGATATTTTATCCAACCATTATCTACCTCAGTAGAGACACTATATATGTAGTATAATATTACTGCATTCACATTTTTCTCTTTTTTCACATATTCTCTCTATAATTTTAATCAGATATTTCATTATGATAATGAAACTGTAAAATCCTAATCTGGTTATTTCACTGGGATACTGACACTACTTGCATTGGCAATATAAGTTCAGGTATAGCTTCTATTTGAATCTATTCTTCTTAGTATGCGCTAATCACTACCGATATCATTTACAATTATAAAATGACTTTGTGCACAGTTTCTATTCTAATGCTTTTATGATCCTCAAACATTTTATTAATCACTTATGATACCATTTGGGTTTGTAATGTAACTTGGGGCACAGCCTCTACTTCAAATTCTCCATGACCTTTTTATAATATATCCATTTTCCCACAGATCGTTTTCTAAGCACATATCCATTTCATTTTGGATTTATTTATATATATATTTTTTTTTTTTTTTTCCTATTACTTTTTACTATAATCAATTCTATAACTGCCAATAAGCTTACTAACTTCTAATTAATTATGATATAGTAATTCTGATTTGCACATACAATACTGTATTTGTGTATGTATCATTCTAATAAGTATCAAACCACTGTATTCCACTCTATTATATTATTTTATTGTATTTTCAATTTACAATTTGTTCCTAATTTACAATTTGTTTTTATAACCACTCTATGTATATATAATGAGATTTACATGTTTAGTTAACCAATAATACACGCAGCCCATCAGCTCTGTATATAAGACAGACATCCAAATCCAGCTGCAGCATGTCTCTGAAGAAGTGGGGCTGACACCCACGAAACGCGTTAGACCAGCAGTGTTAGTGAGCAGGATACGACGGAGCAGCCAGACGCCAGCAGCAGCATCTCTTTCCTTCCCCCATACGGCATCTAAGACCTGGGGACAGACGGACTGCCGAGCATCCGAGAACCAGAGTGAGGTTTGGCACGCACGCCAACCTCCCCAGCAGCCGGCAAGTAATTTCTCTTCATTTTGATACAATAGTATCCACTGTAATCCTTAACAGTTACAGTGTGGATGAAGCTTTTTGTGCGAGATCTGCAGTGGCTAAAGACTTGCTAATCGTTCCTGGCTCCCATTTTTTGTATTTATATTTTTATTCCAAATTTGGACTATTCTTTTATGTTTTTTATATGATGAATAAATTTCTATATTATTTTTTAAATACATTCTGTTAATAGTGGTTTTTTACTTTCACTTGTAGTTTTTTGCCTAATTCTCAGGTGATTATAACTAATACAGTTAATATGGAGTTTTTTATGTCTCCTTATTAAAATATAATACTGTTCTTTGCACGGACTACTTAAAGCAATATACACACTATTTTAAACAGTGTGTGAATTTTACGCATAACAGGTAACCAGGTTTTATATGGTTATTTTGTATTCAGCAATAACTTTGTATTAAGCAGATCATTCGGTGTGTACCAAACAGATTCTGCCTATAGCAGATTTAAAGGTATACACACCATACATTCTGGCATAGTTACCATCCAGCATTTTAAATATTTTATCCTATCACACCAACGAAGTCATATACTAAGTGAATTTGCTCCTGAACACATCACCTTTGAAGGTATCCCTGTTTTCTATATTTCCAGACAGGTTTTGGGTGTATTCCTGTCTTTGTTCAGTTTTGAGCTATTTACCCTAAGTCAGACTCCCTCACCCCTCTGTGTTTGCATCAAGCAGACCAGTTTCTACTCTCTGAGAACTGTTGTTGTATAAATATAATTTTATACATACATTTTAATTGCAATTGCCGAGCAAGCATGGTGGATCACATTTCATACAATGTGTCATCAAGTATGGATTTCTTTACTAGCTTGCACATGTGTCTATTTTTTATATATTGGACATTTACATTAATGAACCATGACACCTTAATATGTTCTGTATGAAAACCAAGGCAGATGTAATAAGAATATGATTTTACCTTAGTGTAACTGAAGAATTTACAGAGCCCGGAGATGTCCAGTTTGTAGTGTTTGTTGTGCTGTTTGCATTGAAAGCAATTCCAAGACTACAGTTAGTAACACCGGTTGCATTTTGCCAAGTACCCACTGGAGAATTATTTGACTGTGCCCTTAGGATAACTGTTTTTGTATCATTGAGTCCATTCACTGTCACTGTAAATAGAGGCAAATAAACAAATAAATTAGAACAAGAAAAAAAATCAACAACATAATTTCATGTTAGATTTTAAAAAGCTATAAAGAGCCTGAATTTACAGACACTGGAGATATCCAATTAGCAGGAGTTTAGTTGGTTACATTAAAAGCAATTCCAAGAGAATATGTGGTAGAATGTGCATATTGGAAAGTCCCCAGTGGGGAGTTTTTGGATTGTGCCCTGTGAGTGTTATAGAATCCTGTTCACTGTACATTCACTGAAAAACTGGGTAAAAACGAATTATTAACAAATAAAATAAGTTAAAGCATTTAAAGGTAACAAAGAGTAAATGTATCACTATAGTTACAGTGAGTTATATAATGGAGCACTTTATTATGGTAGCTCATGCAATATTTTAAAATAAATGTGTATTGGAATAGTTAGGACGAAAGTGACATCACACTAGTGCTTATTGACTACAAACATAATTTAGGAGGAAACTATCATTTATTATTTATATTTTTATTATTTATAAAGCATCAACAAATTCTGCAGTGCTGCACAATGGGTGAACCAACAGACATGTATTTGTAACCAGAAAGGGATTTAGGGGTGATTATTTCTGATGACTTAAAGGTAGGCAGACAATGTAATAGAGAAGCAGGAAATGCTAGCAGAATGCTTGGTTGTATAGGTAGAGGTATTAGCAGTAGAAAGAGGGAAGTGCTAATGCCATTGTACAGAACACTGGTGAGACCTCACTTGGAGTATTGTACACAGTACTGGAGACCGTATCTTCAGAAGAATATTGATACTTTAGAGACCGTTCAGAGAAGGGCTACTAAACTGGTTCATGGATTGCAGGATAAAACTCACAAGGAAAGGTTAAAGGAACTTAACATGTGTAGCTTGGAGGAAAGACGAGACAGGGGAGTTTAAGCATGCGTGGGATAGGCATAAGGCTATCCTAACTATAAGATAAAGCCAGGGACTAATGAAAGTATTTAGAAAATTGGGCAGACTAGATGGGCCGAATGGTTCTTATCTGCCATCACATTCTATGTTTCTGTGTTTCTATATTAGTTGGACACACAGGAGCAGAGGGATTGAGAGCCCTGCTCAATGAGTTTACATACTAGAGGGAGTTTGGTAAAGTGACACAAAAGTAAATGTAGGGTAGAAAAGTAGGTGGCTGGGATAGTATTCACTGAGGGCTTAGTGTTTTGTTTTGATGACAGTTGCAGGAGAGGAATCAGGGTGCGTGGAGGGAAAATTGTTGACATTTTAATTGAAATGCTATCCTGAAGAAGTAAGTTTTCAATGATTGAAGGGGTGTAGTTTGGGTGAATGTCTAACAAAGAGCGGAAGGGTGTGCCATAGGAATGGAAAGAGGGCTGCAATCTATTAAGATAAACAATCACATATTTAAGTAGTAAACAGACAAAATTACATATAATTAAAAAAAAAAAACGACCCATTTCCAATTATTTCCATCCTCGTAGTGTCCAAGCCTGAAGTAACAGCTCCAGTTCTGAACGCTATGGTAAGGACAGGTACTTTAGCAAGTCATAATGGGCTGGTACATGTATGGCACATTTTACCATTCTACTAATTTGCAACCTTGATTTGAGTCCCAGATTAGTTGGTTTGGAACTTCATTTTTTTTGAGAAGATTTTTAAATTATGAAAAAGTTTTGGATAAACTTTTTAAATGATTTAATATTCTGAAAACTATACTAATATTGTAATAATATTTTGATATTTTTGATAGATTGATTTTTTATATATGTGATTTTAAAGTTATAATATTTAAAAGGTTTATCTAAAAAACAATAAATCATCTGAAACATATCAGCTACAAGCCCAAAAAGTTGAAGTGAGCTTTACAGAATTGTGTAGGGCTAGAAGGCTAGGCTATTAGCGACTTTTTTTTAATGGAATTTGTAAGAGTGAAATGCATTTTTTAGGAACATCTGTTTTATGATTTATATTCATGAGTTCTGGAAACAAGGAGCAATGAAATTTGCACAATTAAGTGGGCAGTAAAGTACAGATTCAGGACTGCATAGGGACTGCCCAAAGATTAAGCAATCAAGATTAAGGCATTAAGGTATTAAGGCTTTTCTTTTCCCTCATGGAAGGTGGGTGCATTATGTGGTACTGGAAGAAACCTTTAGCCATAGAATTTAAAGCAAACTGGCCTGGCTAAAATCAAGGATAATTGAGCAGGTCAACCATTAAAATGTAATATTTGGGTAAATTGTATTATTAATATGAATTAATATTATTATCTAACCTTCCATTAAACAGAGAAGGGAATTTGTACTTGTCCCATATTCTACCCATATAATTTTTAATAAAAAAAAAAAAATGAAAACCTCCTGGCAGACATACTATTTTTAGTAGAAGGTCCAGGGAATTTGTGTACAATACTTTAAATAAAGGCTGTTGCATTGTAGATTACAAGCAGGTTCCACTGGGATGGAAGGCAGTGTATGCCTGTGGATACGTTTATCTCATGTACCTACACAATCGTAATGCAATATGGTTGAAATGTTTCTACCACCTTTACTTTCAATGATCCCATTTTACATTTCTTCATCACCTACTTTTTTAAACCACATACTCATTTATTTACTTTTTAATGCAATTTAGCATTATTTCACAAAAGCCTAAAATTCTCAGCGATTAAAAAAACCCAAAAAAGCAAACAAAGATGCTCTGTTACTTATCACAAGTACGTATCACAAGTACTTAAAATTATTATCTTTACCTTGTATACGTTTAAACTTGTAAGTATAAATGATCACATTCTACAACTTCTGGGTTCAATTCTGGATTCATACATCTTAAAACACACAGCAAGTGACATCACTGAATTAAATGTACCTACTTAATATTTCTTTCATATTCTCATAATTCATTAATACAGATACAGTATATAGAAAACATTTAAAGACTTGTAAAGGAGATTAACTGTATCTCACCTGTGTAGTTAGTGTTGGCAGTAAGATTTTGAGATGAAACAGTCAAACCGAAATTGGTAGAAGAGATGACATTTGTATAATTGTCCCCACACTGCGTACTGAGATCCTGTGTGTAGACTGGACTGATCATCAAACCAAGAACAAAAAGAAGTGCAGCAGTTCCAATCAGTGCCATTGTGAATGTAGTGTCAGCACAAAATCAATAATGCATTCTGTATATAAATGCTATGTTATATATAGTATTCATAATGCAAATCTTTTTAAGGGCAGGACAAAATATTCCAAATCTATAGATTTTATTCGTCAATTTTCCTTCCTCCTCTCGTAGCCACTGATAACATTGCTTTACTTTTGCCTCGAGGCAATTGAGGAAATATGCTGCTGAATACATTGTTCCACCAGTGAAACCTGTAATTATTCTCAGTTATGTAGTTTCTGTTATCCCAAAAATTTAATAATTATTTACAATGTTCTTGCTTTTACATCACCATAAAACATTCTGTAGATTTCAGTTCTGAAAGAAATATGTCTGGACAAACAGCATATTTAACACTATAGTAGCCCTGATAAAAATGCAGCTACTTTACAATTATTATTATTATGATATTTATAGAGTGCCGTCAAATTCCGCAGCGCTTTACAATGGGTGGACGAACTGACATGTAGTTGTAACCAGACAAGCTGGACACACAGGAACAGAGGGGTTGAGGGCCCTGCTCAATGAGCTTACATGCTAGACCAACCAACTTTCTCAAACTAGGTTCAATTCAACTATTACTAAGCAAGACATATCTATAAATCTCCAAACGTTTTGTACGTGGCACTGTACCAGCAGACGCTAGGCACAACAGTAACCTAACCAGGCTAAAACTAGGATCAAAGACCCAGGCTATCTTCCACTGAGAGTTTATGTATGTAGAACTGACAATAACTTGTATTTTTTTACTACACAACACATTCATTTAAAAAATAATTTTCTTATTACAAATAGCCAACAAGATTTTGACGTACATGACAGTCTCATTATCCTGAGTCTGAATACTGCTTATAATGGTGTTACTTCTAATGGTGGTGGTCGCAGTGGAGTTTTCACCAACAATCATGGACCAGGCAGTGCCAGCAGTATGTATGCCTTCTGCTGTTTTGGATGAATAGAAATTGGTACAAATTTGGGCCAATTGGCTGCTTAGTCAAAATCCATATCTCTGAAGCACCATGCAGACCAATCTAAGGAAACAACAATTTAAACATCAGTGTATGTATCTTTGTCTGTATATGTGTCATTGCTTGTATCTGTTTGTCTGTCCATCTCCATGGGTGTCAGTGTTTATATGTTTATATCTGTGTGTCTTTGCAACCACATGTGTGTCAGGTGTTTGTATCTGTATCAGTAATAAAGCCTGACAAAAACCTTTTAAAAGGTTGAAACATTGCTCTGTAACTGGGTTGGTGTGGTTACACGTGGTCTGCGGTTGTGAGGCTGGTTGGATGTACTGCCAAATTCTCTGAAATGCCTGTGGAGATGGCTTATGGTAGAAAAATTAACATTCAAGTCACGGGCTACAGCCCTGGTGCACATTCCTGCAGTCAGCATGCCAATTGCACACTCCCTCAAAACTTGCGACATCTGTGGCAATGTGCTGTGTGACAAACCTGCACATTTTAGAGTGGTCTTTTATTGTGGCTAGCCTAAGGCACACCTGATATGCCACACATGTGAGGTGGATGGATTATCTCGGTAAAGGAGAAGTGCTCACTAATAGAGTTGAGCAGACACCTGGATGTTAGGGTCCGGAGGGTTCAGCCGAACTTTGAAAAAAAGTCCGGGTTCGTGATCGAACTTGACCCCAAACCTGAACCCCATTGAAGTCTATGGGGACCCGAACTTTTGGGCACAAAAATTCCTCTAAAAAAGTCCTGGAAAGGGCTAGCAGGCTGCAAAAGGAAGTAAAATGGGGGTATGAGTAGGACAAGTGCCCTGCAAACAAATGTGGTTAGGGAAATCATTTAAAATAACATAAAATACATAAAAATATAGCACTAGATGGAATCTTTGAATTTAGCTTTGGAAGAACATAAATCAAAATCTAAAGCATGGCTGTCAAGTGGATCACCAGAATTATCCATTTGAGAGGGTTGGAGTGCAGGGTATTCTCTTTCATTGTTCAAACTGAGCTCAACTCATGATGCATGGAGAAAAGGCCTTCACAAGCCTCTGCTATCGCATACATAGTTTATCCTAAGTGACCCATAGGTTGAGGAGGCGGTGATCATGGCAGTGTAGGTGGAAGCCGCAGGTGGAGGAGGTAGCCAACACTGTTTTTTATTTGTTTTTGTTTTTTTTAGTTGGGGTAGCCCCCAAAATATTAGGACATATAAAAAAAAGAAACATTTGTGGCCTGCGGTGCATTTCTTGCAGTCCTGATGCATGGAGAAAAGGCCTTCACAAGCCTCCGCTATTGTGTATATAGTTTATACCCATAGGTTGAGGAGGCCGTGACCATGGTGGTGTACGTGGAAGCAGCGGTGGAGGAGGAGGAGGAAGCCAACACTGTTTTTTATTGTTTTTTTTATTTTAGTTTTTTTAATTGGGGTAGCCCCCAAAATATTGGGACATATAAAAAAAAGAAACATTTGCGGCCTGCGGTGCATTTCTTGGTTTTTAAAAGTATCCGTCTCCACCAGACGGAATGACAGCATTTCAAAGGCCATGAATTTTGAAATGCTGGCCTTCAGGGCCAGGGATCGCGGATGGCTAGGGGGGTACTTTCTCTTTCTCTCCAGTGTTTGGGAGATGGACAGCTGAACACTTCCATGGGACAGTGTGGAGATGCTGGACAATTGTGTACCTGGCCTATGCTGGTGCAGGAACCCACCCTCCGAGCTACTTGTGAATGACTGGCCTGATAACCGTGGAAATGACCCCTCTTCCTCCTGTGCCACTTCTTCTTCCATCATGGCCCAAAGCATTTTTCCAAGGAGACATAGAAGCGGTATAGTAAGGCTGAGAATGGCATCATTGGCACTGGCCATGTTGGTGGATTACTCGAAAGAGCACAACATGGCACACAGGTCTCGCATGGAGGCCGGCTCATTGGTGATGAAGTGGTGCTGTTCCGCAGAGCGACTGACCCGTGCGTGCTGCAGCTGAAACTCCAATATCGCCTGCTGCTTGCACAGTCTCTCCAGCATGTGCAAGGTGGAGTTCCACCTTGTGGGCACGTTGTATATGAGGCGGTGAGTGGGAAGGCCGAAGTTACACTGCAGTGCAGACAGGCGAGCAGCAGCAGGGTGAGAACGCCGAAAGCGCGCACAGACGGCACGCACTTTTGCAGCAGCTTTGATATATATGGGTAGTTTTTCAAGAATTTCTGCACCACCAAATTCAGCACTTGTGCCAGGCAAGGGATGTGCGTCAAACCGGCTAGGCCCAGAGCTGCTACGAGATTTCGCCCATTATCGCACAGCACCAGGCCGGGCTTGAGACTCAGTTGCAACAAACTCATCGGTCTTTTGTTCCATGTCCATCCACAGCTCCTGCACGGTGTGGGGTTTTTCCCCCAAACATATGAGTTTGAAAACAGCCTTCTGTCATTTCCCCCTGGCTGTGCTGAAGTTGGTGGTGAAGGTGTTCTGCTGACTGGATGAGGAGGTGGTAGAGGAGGAGGAAGCGGAGTATGAGGAGGAGGAGGCAACAGTAGGCAAAGCTGTGTACCCAAATAAAAATTGTCAAACGTTGTATCCTGGTTACTGGGGAAATGGTTCTGACCTATTCTAATCAAAGGGGAGAACCATCAGTTACCCAGGTCCTGCTTCAATTGGTGGCAAGCGGCAGGATCCCATGTCCCTGCCAACAGACCCATGGACTACAGTGCTCTAAAGCAACCTACACTGCAGGACTTGTGTGGAGCCAGAGGAATAATGCCTGGTGGGCGTAACAAGGCCGAATTGACTGCTGTGCTCATGGAGGATGACCAGGCATGCAGTGAGGCAATGAACCCCAGCCAGGGGCTGGAGATGAGGAGGGAGTGCGCAAGGAGGTGGAACGGCGCCTGGCATATTACCAAGAGCCACCCTCAGAGGAGATTGTCAGCAGGACCTTTCTGGAGGTGCAAGCCTATGTCCTGGCCAATAGACAGAGGGCGATCTCCATGAACCCAGATGAAGGAAGAAGGGAGCAGAGGGCGCCAGGAAGCACAACCACCCTGGCCCACAAGCTACCATACAATGCCTTCAAAGAGTTCAAGGAAGCAGAAGAAGGCATTGTAAAGGATCCTTCTATTCATGCAGCGATGATCCTTGCAGCTTCTCCCGAAATCCAGCTGAAACAAAGTGATTATAACTCCCAATCCCCCAAACATGAGTCGAGACTTCATGAAGGGGTAAAACGATCTGATTTACTGTGGGCTACCCGCCCGGTATTTATGCAGGTCTCCCACCTGGTGGACACTCCCCTAGGGGACCAGATGGAAGACAGGGACAAAAGTATCACAGTAGCCAATCACAGTGGCTATAGCATAAGCACTCCCCTTTTACATAAATCTCTCCCTCTTTTCCATCCTGGATATAATTAACTTAAGGTAGCAAAGAGAACCTTAATTATATCCAGGTAGAAAGAAACATGGCTTTTCTTATTTTAGCAAAACAGCATAAAAATCTATAACTTTCCTTTTATATAACATAAACTTTAAGTCTCACATATCCCCAGATAGCTTGGATCTGAGTGCATATTCTAGGTGAATAGCGCTCAGATCCCACGAACACAGTTCTCAGAAACGTCGACTGAAGTTTGGCTTTCGCCAGCCGTTCGTGTGTTTGTAGCCGACTACAAGTTCCATACTGTAGCTATCTGGGGTCGGTCACTTTCGCATACTTCCAGCACACGAATGAAATAGAATCTCCTTCATTCCTGTGTTTTTCCACCGTACGAACGAGGATTTGAAGAGGTAGCAGCGGTGTTCGACAAAATAAGTAGCCAAAATTAGTTCCAGGGAATCCTTGCCATTTACCGCTGAGTGTTCGACAATACAAAATGGCGATTGCCACGTATTCGGTAAACGAATGCGGACCACCAGCTATTCCCCAATTAGTCTGTGGTTAACCGCAACAGTCTGGGTGGTTAATAGGCGCCACACGACCTCAGTGGGAGGTCGGGTGGTTCGGTAGTTCATTCGCTTTTCTCGCTATTTGCACGAAATCCCGCTGTAATCATCCAAATAACCGAACAGACTGGTTTGTATGGTCTGTAAATAAGGGATTTTGTTACAGGCATCAATTACTTTTTTCAAGACT